CCCAGGGAGAGCAAAAATTCCCCCAAAATGTGAAATACTTACTTTTGACTCTGAAGTCTACCAGATTCTTTTCCAATAGAAAACACAGCTGCTCTAAACTTCAGTTGAATAGCTTTCTGCTGCAGTTAACCTGTCACCTCCCAGGGCTGCCAGAGGTAATGAGGCTGAATTTGCACAGGGCCCAGCGATGAGCCTGTGAACGTATCTGACAGGACAGGTAATGCGAGTAGGCATTGCAATGCCAGGCTGATCAGATCAGAGCTAGGACTGCCTGACCTGTGTGGAAGTTACTATTATGATTTATTCAAGGAGTCAGAGAGAAGTTGGAAAGAGGGAAAGGGCAATGAAATACTTAAAGGAAATTTAGTTAACCCCATGTGAGGTCTAGGAAGCTGCCTGAACGGGGGTAGTGCACTGGTGGGCTCTTTTGGTCCAGAGACCTTATTTATCACCAAAAAAAAATTGATTGGTATTTCATTAATACTATCTATACAGCTAAATGGCAGGGGCATCTTTGCTTGCCAAAGTCACCACTGGCAAATACAAGCAAAGGAATAGTTTCTGATAGCAAAATTATTTCTATTTCTAGTTAGCTCCACTTTTGCTGGTAAGGATTTAATTTTTTTTTTTTTACTTTGATCTTGTTTAAAAGCAAGATAATTTGGGGAAGCACTATTCCATCCCATAGAGTTGCAACAAACTTAGTTTTTCCATTCCACTTTCTGGATACCTCATTTTGCCAGACTTTTAGACTAGCAAGGTCTAGACGAGGGCTACCACTTTGGGTTGAGAGTTATCAATTATTCTAGTGACTTGATCAGCCTCAAACAGCAGATTCTCAGTTCACTACACACAAATCACCCTACATTTCCTGAAAGACTATAGATATCTTTCTTTAGGATCTTGCACAATAGCTAACATCACTAGTGTGGACTGCAGGCATACAGAGACAGATGCAAGCTTGCTAAAACCGTTCTAAACTCAATCACATGCAGAAGAGTTTTTAGTACAGATTTAATCCATACCTAAAGTCACAAGTTCCATTTTTCTGAAGCATTTGTCACCAATACCGATCAGTAGGAATGAGAAAAAAAAAATCACTGAAATTAGAACAAGATCTTTGAACTGTTTTTAAGGGAAACTATCACTTGGTACCTTCTACAGATGACACATTTGCACTAACACCTCCTGTATGTATTTCAGTCTAGGAAACTGCATAGATACACAAGAGAACATCAAGATATAAAGCATTTATTTGAAACATCATTTCAGGTTTTATAAGCACCACATACTATTTTCTGCTTAAGTTCTGCAGAACCTGAATATATAACACATGCACTTTAGAGTTCAGTGAAATCAAGATGATTGGAATAATGCCATATCTACTCCACAAAGACAGGACAAGCCACCCCTAATTTCCGAGCCCTTCTCTGAACACACCTAACAGAAAGAGAATTAGCCTTTAGAGCAAACATTAGGACGCAAAAATACTGTCCCCCTGCATGTAGGCATTCAAAAATTGTGTTACTCACTGCACACCTGTAGGGGGCCTACAAGAAAGCTGGGGAGAGACTATTCACAAAGGCATGTAGCAACAGGGCAAAGGGCAATGGTTTTAAACTAGAGCAGGGGTAGATTTAGATTAGATGTTAGAAAAAAAGAAGCCTTTTTACAATGAGGGTGGTGAAACACTGGAACAGGTTGTCCAGAGAGGTGGTGGAGGTTCCATCCCTGAAGACATTCAAGGCCAGGCTTGATGGGACTCTGAGCAACCTGATTTAGTTAAAGTTGTCTCTGCTCACTGCAGGGGGTTGGACTAGATGATCTTTAAAGCTCCCTTTCAACCCAACACCTTCTATTATTCTATGACTACAGTATGCTAGGATAAGGCTCTAAGTTTGCCATGTCATAGCTATTTAAATTTGATTTAAGCATCTAAATTTATTAGATCTCAAGACCACAAACTTGACTGCAGTGAACAAGCGATAATAAAATGCAGCGAGTGCTTGTGGTTTAGAATCAGAGTGGTTTGGGTTGGAAGGAACCTTAAAGATCATCTAGTTCAAACTCCCCTGCCATGGGCAGGGACACCCGCACACTAGGTTGCTCAAAGCCCCATCCAACCTGGCCTTGAACACTTCCAAGGAGGGGCTTCCATAACTGCTCTGGGCAACCTGGTCCAGTGCCTCAACACCCTCACAGTGAAGAATTTCTTCCTAATATCTAATCTAAATCTACTTTTTCAGTTTGAAACTGTTGCGATTTCTAAAGGGAAGGTCGCAAAAACGACAGAACTTATCTACATGTAGATAAGCAGGCACTTCTTTATTGCAGCGCTGGGAAGCCTGGGAATCACCCCATGCTTCGAATACATCAACAAAAATTCAATCTATTTATACACTTTTACAAAATTATAATATTTTAACATAAACATGCATACACTGTCCGCTATTAATTTTAACCTTTATAATGATTGGTTCAACCCTTATTAATATTCATATATCTTATTTCCATACAATCGCTGGCAATTGGGGTGAGACCACATTTAACCACAAAACAAAAATGGGGGAGTAGGGAGGTAGGGAGGCATGCCTGCGTAAAATGCAACCTATTGATCTGTCTATATAAAATATGCTGGTATTGTTATTAAAGCACAGGTGCAGTGAGACCAGAGACAGGGTGCGGTAAGACATTTTACAAGTACAAAACATTCTCTGCCAAATTTGCAGCCTACACAGCTCTGGCTTTTGCTAAGGCCTACACACGACTTTTAGCATAAGTATATTAGGATAAGGAGCACAGAATTTTAAATTAATAAACTAATTTAATTAAAATAGTGATTAGCTATTCATTAAGCAATTAGCTCCTTAAAACTTAAGTCTGATTACAACAAAACCATTACACCTGTCACTACACTCCTTGACAAAGAGTCCCTCCCATCTTCCCTGTAGCTCCCTTTAAGTACTGGAAGGCCACTATAAGGTCTCCCAGGAGGCTTCTCTTCTCTGGGCTGAACAACCCCATCTCTCTCAGCCTGTCCTCATAGGCAGTGCTCCAACCTCTGATCATCGTGGCCCTTCTCTAGGCCCATTCCAACAGGTCCATGTCTTATTCTGAGGGCTCCAGATCTGAACAAAGAACTGCAGGTGAGGTCTCACAAGAGCAAAGTCCAGGGGAAGAATCACCTCCCTTGACCTGCTGGCCACGCTTCTTTTGATGCAGCCCAGTATATGACCGGCCTTCTGGGCTGCAAGCAGGCATTGCTGGCTCATACCCAGTTTTAAATCCACCAACACCCTCAAGTCCTTCTCTGTAGGGCTGCTCTCAATCCATTTGTCACCCAGCTAGCATTTGCATTTTTCTAGGGTGGGTGTTTTTCAGAGAAGGTCAGGAATACCTGTCATAAGTCTGAATTCACACATCTTCCAAACTGTTCCTATACAGTGAGAAACTTCAATTCCTTTTGAGTATATGGAATCTTTAATGATTAAGCTTTAACATTAGTATTCCTCTATATGCAATTAAATGGAAATTTCTAAGAAAATTTCCCCCCTACAATAGGGTAAAAATCATCTTAAATAGAAAATACCTAGGATTTTATTCATCCTGGCAGAAAGGTTTTTTGTGGCTTAAACAGGGACATACAGGATTAAATCAAAGCTCTCTTTGGACATAAATTCAAGTTTCTTTCCATAGCATATTCCAGGCTTTACTCCAGCTCAGATAGTCAAATATTTTCTCCAAGGACCAGAACTACTGAGTACACAGTAGAGCATGCCTGCCCATTCCAAAGATGCCAAGGACTTTCCTACTAGCTATCCTAAATAAAAATTTCAGTGCTTAATCATTTAAGTAAACTTTACGCTACATAAAAAAAAGTAAAAGTCTTTTTCAAAGGGCAGTTTCCCCATTTTAATATCTATTTTGCCTATCTTCCCATTGAGCTCAAGTATCTACAACTCAACATCCATAAAAAAAGCCCATCCTGATTACACTGACATGTAAGCTTCCCCTTTTACCTTCCCATCTTTATGTTTCTGTAGGTTTATATACAGCTCTTCCCAGTCATAAAGATGACTTCTAAATCAAGAGTTCCAGATAGGTGCCCACATATAAATGATATGCAGCCTTGAATTCACTGAAGCAGTATTTCATGAAACTGTGAATAGCAGTAAAGCAAACCCTGCAGGTTAACCAGCATAGTCATGTGAGAAAAAACACAGATAGTGTGGGGAAGAAAAAATTATCTAGAAAAAGTCTTCCTAAAGAAACAGAGGAAGGAATCAAGGAATTCCTTTCCTCCATGAACAGCAACAGTCTTGAGATTTCTAGGAGGAAGAAAAAGCCATTTAAAACACATGAAAAAAAAATGCTAATCTCATTTTCGTACACTAACCTTAGCTTTTAATAAATTATTAAGATAATAAAAGTTCCACAGCCTATTGAATGTCGAATAAATGCTTCCAGGTAGCTATATTTTAATGCAGAATAACAGCTGGCAGTAAAGAAGTGTTAAGGATTCATGGTGGTAAAAGATATTATGAGAACAGCCCCTACCCCTCCAGAATAGACTGCATAATTTAGGTAGACATAATTAATTCAAAAGTAACAATGGCTTAAACTTATGAGAAAGAGAGAAAATTTACAGAGTTCCTTAACAGCACATTTTAAGCTGTACTTCTACCTACAACAAGAAAGTCTCAAAGCTTGGCATCAGAGTCAACTTATGTGTGTTTTCATTCCTTTTGGAAGGAAGAGGATGATCTTGCTGTCCTGATTATGAGTCATTTATCATTTGTTCTCAACACACTATTTGTTTGACCAGCATATTTATTCCAGCAAGAACCATTTGCACCTTTAAACTTCTATAGACCAGACTGCAAAACGGCAACAGTGGAGACTGATTATAGTTTTAAATTTAACAGAAAGAACAAGTGAAGCTATTAGTGGAATATCTTTTGTAAGCAATTAGATTCATCAAGTATGAAAATTTAGCTTACCTTAGGGAATTGTTTTACTGGAATCAAAACTTTTTGTCCCAACTTCATATTTTTATTGATGACTACATCAATATACTTTTCTTCTTCCTTCCCCTCCCCTTTTTGGAATTTTTCAATTTCTGTTAAAGGAAAAAAGTTAGTTATTTTCTCAGTTTAATATTACAGTTCAAAAGCTAAGAATTTTCAAAGTCAGTAGAAATTAAACTTTAAAACTAATACTGTATGGTATTACACATATGGTATATTGTGTAATTAATACATATAGTTTAATATCTAGTTCAATGGGGCATACTATATTTTGCTTTATAAGGCTCTTTTAATATTCATGTTCATAACAATCTAATTTACCACTGCAAACACTTTAAACAATAACTTTTAACACTTTAGATACATCTACATTTTATATGGCTCAAGCAGTAAAAACTGTTGTTGGATAGCTTTACTCATTTTTTAAATTCAGGAACTTACAGCCTAGTATAATACTTTACCATTTTCTCCCTCTACACAAAGTATACAGTTTTAGTGGTGGTTGTTTACAGTGCATTTATAAGCAAATGTCAAATCAATCTTTCAAAAATTTCAGGAATGTAATTGAGGCTCACAGATCATACCCAAAAATCTGAAATTACTGTTATACTAGTGATAACATAATTAGGAATGAGATCTAGAAGTCCAATCCCAGGCTGCATGACTGTACTCATTCCAGAGATGTATTCAAGAATCAGTTTTGCATGTAATTCTCTCCAAATACCGGTTCTCCGGCGTGCTAAAGAAAAACTGCAGTTTTTATTTTATTAGCAGGGAAACCTGAGGAGCACACAAGGGGACTAAAACCGAAGCACTGCTTGAAGTCTTTGCCAGATTGGGACCACACTGTGGATTGCAGCACTAAGCCTGTTAGCATAGGACACAGCAAAAATCCAATTTCAGAAGTGCAATTAAAGTTCTTTGGACATCTAGGACTTGTGCTCCACAGTCATCTCCAAACAGATTTTCACAACAATAAACACTCTTCTAGCTCTACTTAACCAGCAGAAATTAATGACTTTTATCAAGTTCTTGAGGATAAAAAAAAGCAGGAATGTGATCTTACACCAACAGCAGACAGTAACAACTTTTGAATGTGAAGAAACAGATCAAAAATATAAACAGAGAAAACATCCTTTAGATAAACTTTAAAAGTAAATTTCCTTTGAAATCACTTCCAATGAGAAAACACAGTAAACCAACACATTTCTTACTACTGAGAAAGTCATATCATAGAATCAGAGAATGGCCTGGGCTGGAAGGGACCTTAGAGATCATCTAATCCAACCTCCCTGTCATGGGCAAGGGCACAAAATCCACACATCATTAGCAGCTTTGTTAAACGAACACAGTCCCTTCCCATAGAACACAGCAGAAATGAAGACACTACCATCTTTAACTGAAAGGTCAGTCCTCCATGCAGAACAGGAAACAAAATTGCATCTATACAAGTCAGTGTTCAGTGACTGAAAAACCAATAAAGCCAAAGGAATCAAAGACTACCTGAAGGCTTCTTGAAAGAAAAACCTCCCCTAAATATACTTAGTGAGTTCTTAAGTTTTTGATTGTATGGATTCTAATCATGGAAACATTCTGAAGGAGCCTTATCAAAGCAACCTTCCCCAATGTGTTCTTTATGTTGTAGCACACTTAAATCCTCAAAATTCCTCAGCCCCCAGGCTAACAACTACTGAGGAAGATACTTTAACAGCTGCCTCCAGGTAAAAATGAAATTCACGTGTTTTTTGTAGGTGCCACTTATGGACTAGAGAATTATGGGCAATTAAAAGTTACATTGAAATTAATTTCCAGATGAAATCAAGACTGGAATTTTAGGGCATGAGGTTCCCACTCAGAAAGCCCAGGACCACAGTCAAGTTTCTAAATATCACACTCAGATGTAAGAGTGTAGTACTATGGCAGTAGTCAGAAATATACTACTTATATTGCTTCTGGATATAACAAAGGCAGCTGTGATAAAGCTCTGATTTTTCTTAGAAAAAGACTATATACTTATGTCTTTTACAAGTGGAAAACAAAACATGGCATTGATTTTTAATACTGCTGTTGGTACACACTATTAACAGTATAAATATTCAAAGTTCAAAGCTGTGATCTGAAGCATGCTGCTCTTTAGCCATATTTTTCACCAAGAAACATCAAGTATGAAAATTGTAATAACAATATATCCATTTTGTTATGGCTGAAGCACATACAGCTACAAAAACATTAATATGGCTTCATTTAATTTTGATTTTAAATGTCAGGATTAGAATTTGCTCAAAAAAAAAAAAAAATCACAAAAGCATAGCTCAGCTCCATTCAAGATTAAAAATTAACATACTGTCCTGTATTATTTTGGAATGCATCAGCACACCAAAAGACTCCTGGCAGTTAGACTGACACTAGAGCTTTAGAAGTTTTCAGTAGCTATAATTACTGTTAGAGTGAAGGACTTTTTCCTGAAGTAATCTAAACTTACAAAATAAAAGTTCCTTTAATATCAAAACCCTCCATGTTTTTATGAACTAGTAAAAGCTAAAAATTTATGGGTTTTTTTCCTGTTGACTCATACATACAACTGCACCATATTGCATACACTGCAATTCCCCAGCCCATGTGAAAAATTATATTTCATTAAAACTGTATTTCCAGAAGTAATAAGGAAGTTTAAATTAGAACCACAAGTTTGTGAACGAACAGTGGTTTAAGGATCTTTTGGAATTGCCAAGAAATTATACTTAAGGTTCCAGAAACAAAACTTGCCTTTAAGATGTGTCAGACCCATCAAGGTTAAAATATATTTGAAGAAGTAAGAGCAGAGTTCTGACAGTATCTCAGTAACATTCCTCAGATGAGCTAGCTGCATAAATTCCCTAAGAAATCACTAGTTATTTGTATTTTCTAAATATTTTAGCTCAAAGTTATTTTAACTCAGTATTTGAAAGACTTAACTGTGACTGATGATAGACACACTCAATTCTATAGCATTTTGATTTAGTTAATACCAAAAAAAAACAACGCAACTTAAAAAGGCTGTAGAGAGAACATTCTCTCCTTGCACTCATCTTCATGTAGCCAAATAAAATACCAGAAGTCCATTAATTACTCTGCAGATCAGCTTTCCTACACCATATAGCTACTTACTTTTTACTGATCATTTTAAGAACAATCATTTCTTTATTCTTTAACTTTCACTGCTTAATCAACTTTCCATTTGCTGGAAGAACCTACTGAAACCCATAAGATGCTGCCAGACATTCCTCAGCAAAATGAATCACCATTTTCCCCATTTGTTTTAAAGCCAAATGACTTCCAATAAACAGCCACAGAACTATGAAATAATAATTTTTTCCTACTAGGGTCCAAAGTTAATCAAACTGACTTGAAACTTTACACATTCACTTCTATCCTAAGAATTCAATTTTGAATGAAGTCAGGGCCACTGCATTATTGACATTCTACCTTACATTGAGACATGTTATCTCAGATTTTTCTGTTTTTTTCTTGACATGTCTTTGCACTTAAAGATGAATATGAAATAGTTAATAACTAGAATTTTATCCATATCTGCACAGCTCATTTGGCATCTGAAGCTTGATGTATGTGAATGATAATTAGGGAAAATCATGCCAGATAACACAAGAAATCCAATCAGACTTTTAAGGTCAAATTGAAAGGAAGATTTGTCTTTTCCTAATCCTTAGATTACATTCTGTACTACTTAGTTACATGAAGCAATGGCATTTTCTAGATCACAAATAGTAAATAAACATGTGATTAAAGCTTTCCATAATGCCAGAGATTAAAATCCCATGTTCTCAGACCAAGGATGCAGCTAATGCAACAGTCCAGGAATTTAACTGGATGAAGTAATAAATCCATGGCTTTTTTCTTTACATTTAATCACAGCAGTGAGATGTAAGCAATGATTACCCCTCAGTTAATTCACTGAATAATGTTGTTGGATACATCAGATAATGACAAAGTAGAATTGTTTCACATTAATCTTTAGGTAGAATTAATCTTTCTGTGGTAGAACTACAAGCCAAGATACCAACTCCTTCTACTAAGCCAATAGAAATACTTGTGTTTAATGTAAAACAAAAGCAATGCTCTGTATTTGTCTGTAGTAAATCATTATATTCAGTGGAAGATCAAATGTCAAACTCTAAGTAAGCAGAAATGTTTATTGCATTTGTCCTTAATGCAATATTTCCAAAACACAAGAACATGAAGAAACAGGAACCAGGTAAATTTGTCTGTAAATCTTTAGAAAAAAACCCTCTATTTCTCCTTAGTTTCAGAAGTCTTATCAGACATCCTTAAATCCAAATTTCATACTAATCTTTTTCAATTTCAGATGGAAGTGAAGAATCCAGGCTCAAATTCTAGGACATCCAAACAACCAAGGATTCAGAAAACAGAGGACTGATAGAATTGCACTGCAATTTCACTAAAAAACAGTTTTCACATTTAATTTGAAAATGAAAATATTATGTGAACAACATTTTCATAAATACTCTTAAATAATCCCTGACTAAACATTCTGAAACAGTTTGGAAAATTACTAATACTATACAAGAGCAGCAATGTATTTTGCTTTATTTGGACAATTCCAATTTTATTCTCTTGCAGCTGAAAGAAACATCAGAATTTCAACCAAACCAACCAAACAATTTGGTTATAAAACTACTGAAGCATGCCCCAATTACAATAGTATTTCTCTCTAAGTTCTCAAGACTTCTTAGTTGACTTAGAAAAAAAACACATCATCTTTAATTCAGAAAGCTCTTAAGCCTATGGAAGTATTTTATATCATTTCCCTGTTACTGGCTGGAAAAAAAGGTCACTGCTATTGACCATTGCTGGAGAAACAACACTGAGCTAGATGGAGATCTCGTCTGACTGCGATTCCTTATGGTTGGTACTGAAAGAAAACCAAACCAAACAAAAACCACACAACCCCACACAGAGCTTGTCTTAGTTTGTATTTTATGAAGGTCTTCTTTAAAGAACATACTCAAGCTTTGATAAGAGAAAAGCTTCCAGAGGAGGAGGGGAACTCCTTGGCAGTTGTTGCAGAAT